ATGAGATTTTATCAAGCTTTTGTCAAGTTATGTCAAGCTCCTCGAAGTACGATCTTGATAGAATCTTAGCTAGATCCTATTGAAAGTCTAATGCATACGAAACTGAGTGAATTTGAGAGAATTTCACGCAGATCTTTAGAAACTGATGCCCTCTACTTTTGAGATGCTGAGTAGATAAATGCTATTCCTATCGGAGTTCTTCATAGGAAAAAATAGGGATCTGTGGGTTTCCTGTGTAATTTGCAAAGGGTGGATCTGAATGGAATAGTCAGATAGTGTTCTACAAAGCTATTATTAATTTTTCCTGAAAATTAGCTGCAAACCACGTATTAGGATCTTAAGGCCACCCTCCCCCTCAAAAAAAACCAATTTTCGTCAAATTTTTCGAAATTGAGATAACCGCATAGGAAGATAGTCCGTTTTGCGATCTTTCAGATGTGATATGTTTTTTTTTCCAACACGCCTTTTTTGTCCGAAAATTATGATCGTTTCTATAACTGGATGCATGAAAAATATGATTTTTTTGGAAAAAATGAATTTTGAGTTTTTTGCATGAAAAATATGATTTTTTTGGAAAAAATGGATTTTGAGTTTTTTGCATGGGAAATAAGTACTTTAATTAATGAAAACCAAAGACTTTTTAACAAGTTTTATTAATCGTTATAGAAAAATCAAAATTCAAAAAACAAAAAATGAGAAATAGACTAGCTGATAGAAAAAAAAAGCTTTATTTAAAAAAAACTTTGATCTGACAAAGTTCACATAAAAAATTGTTTAATAAACTGTTACTTATTCTTCTTCTTTCCACCTTCTTCTGTCTTTTGGATTATAATAACCATATTCGTCATCACTAGTTTCATCATTCTTTTCAACATCTTCTTTTGTTGCTGTATCAGGACTAAGAATTGTTTTATCATCATTATCAGTTGATGAATTATCACTACTGGATGTTGAATCATGATCATCAGTGGAACATTCATTACCTTCTGTTGTTGTATCATTATCTTCAAATGTTGCTTGATCACCGGGATTTGTTTCATTATAATCATTATCTGCTTCTTCATCACTATCTATGGTTTTATAATCATCATCACCAGATGCATTATTACTATTTGTTTGATCATTATCAACATTTTTTTGTACATCACGACCAGCTTCTTTTCTTCTTTTTCTATTATTTTCTTTTGATTCTGTATGAAGACGAGTGTTGTCGAAGTGAATCATTGCTTGGTCGGTGTAGTGACCACGATAACCACAGATGTTGTTGAAAAGATCTCCTGTGCAAAAGTAAAAAAAATTATTTTATAAATGTCAAACATTTCAATTATAATTAAAAAAACTCCTGAAATTATTTGTATCGGCTTACCTAATGTAAAATATCCATCATTAAATATTATTATTGCAAGATGACATGCAATTTCTAATGTTGATGCTGGTATTGATCGTATATTTTGACGAACACGTCTTGTCACGGCACGTGTGCTAAGTCTAGTATTAAGTCTTTTTTATTATAAGGAAAAGGAATTTCAAATTAGATTTTTTATCTCCCTTCTTACATAAACCAGAAAAACATTCACTTGTTTTAGGGCTAGAATAATTCCATTGACTAATAGTATAAGAAAAAGAAGTTTCATTGGAGACACTTACCGTTTTGTTTTTCTCTTGTTAGCCATAATGTTTGAGACCAACACGTTTTAATATAAAACCGTAATACAAAGATAAATGTATAATCTAAACAAATAAAATATTAAACTAAAGTATAGATATATTCTTTTCTTTTTTAAAACACACTAACAAAACTACACATATACATAGAGTGAGCAACAAACTGGCACGCCTCTCTGTATATGTTATAAAGGTAGTTGACCACTAACTAATTTTTAGTCAGAGAGAAGTATTATCTTATCGCGTATACAATATACTGAACTATTTTATTCTTAAAATCAACGTGAATATATATAAGAGTGCTGAAAGAGAAAGAATACACCAGAAGATAGTAAAGAGAGAAGTGTTAGTATGTGAACTAACACGTTTTCCTGGTTTATTCTTTCCATACTAAAAAAACAAAAAACAACAACAACAACAAAAAAATAACTATCGGTCCACATATATATCCTTATGGATCATCCAGATGACCAATCAATAGAATATAGAAGAAAGAGAAGAAAAGTGAGGTAGTGGACGAAAGATAGCGCCACTACCCAACAAGGAGAACTCATTAGATAATACGAGAGAGAACATACATGGCTAAGATGCAATAAAGAGGGCTGAGATAACTCACAGTTAATTTCATTAAAATATTTTCCAGTAAGCCCATTATGTTTATGCCCTGAATAATAAAATTATTCATCTAGTGAAGCTCAATAAGCGCCAAAAGAAGGTTATTTGTGCATAGTTATAAAAGATATATGACAGTTAGTAGTTATTCTAGTCAAATCTACCAAAAAAGTATCTAAAAATGTTAAAATATGGTAAAAAATTTTTTCAAAAAATGTTTTTCGTTTTTTCTCAGTTTAGGCTTTCTGGACCGCGCAATCCATTTTTCTCTGTCCAGGCTCATTCAATATATTTATATATTTTTTTTGTTTGAAAGAGCACGTCAAGATGTAGTGCAGTACAGAGTCCTTTTTTTAAATTAAGCTTGTTTTTTATTATATATACAAACACTTATATAAACAGACCACCATTTTTGGCGCGTTTTTTGAGTCATTGAACTTGGCAGCCCTTTTCTCCGCTTAAAAGATAATAATTTTAAAAAAAGGACTCTGTACTGCACTGCATCTTGAGATGCTCTTTCAAACAAAAAAAAATTTAAATATATTGAATGAGCTTTGACAGAGAAAAATGGATTGCCAAATGAGCTATTTTTGACCCTTGCTTGGTTCATATCTCTGTCAAACATCAGGATATCGAGCTGAAAATTTTACCACAGCCTCTACACATCAGCCCCAACATATGCTCCAAATTTCAGCCCATTTGAACGTACCTGGGCTGAGATCGATTTTTGAGGGGGGGGGGGGGGGGGCCTTAA